CTGCGCTATCAGCTGGCTGACCCTGCGCAATATGGACATAAATGATGTATTTGGTATGTCGCAGATACATACGTCATATTGTTAACGCATGTTATAAGGACACAAAGACATCAAGACATCTGGCTAACAAAGAGCTACAAGAGCTCATCGAATTTGGCCTTACCTCAAGTTCTGCACTCATCTTCGAAATTGATCAAACCACCTGATCTGCATTAAGTTAGCTGTAAATGAAATCTTTCTACCTGCAGAGCGTATCGGAAAGATTTTTAAATGTTGCCAGAGAGGGACTTCCAACAACTGCATTTGACAGCACATTCCAATGATTCACCACTCTTTGACTCATCTGCCTCTGCATACTTGTCCCTTTTGCTAAATCAAGCTAGTTCCCTGTAAGTCTCGGGCAAGTCTGTAAGTCTCAAATTTGCAGTGTTCCATGTAGATCTCCTTGTCTATTCCCGTCATGGCATTGAAAGTCTCTACCAGATTCTCTCTAAGTCGGTATTTCGATATTTCACGGTATTTTACGATATTTCACTGCATGCAACCCCCAAGCTCTAAGCCTATCCTCATATTCTAAGCCGCCAATCCCATGTTTTATCTTAGTTCTTTTTCGCTCTGCTCTTTCCAGCCTATCCATATATTTTTGGAAACATGGGGACCAGGCTGGTATACATTACTCAAGGTGTAGTCTGACAGAAGCTAAGTGCAAGTTTTTGACAACGTTTCTACTTTTGTAACGGACATTTCTGTTGATAAGTCTCAGCATTCAAAGTGCCATGCTCCTAGCAGCCCCACATTGTTTATCAGCCTTGAAGTTCCTGGAAATGATAACCCTGAATTCCCTTCTTCTTCGATCTAGTCTAACTCTCGGCCTATTTTAATTTATACCTGATGGCCTCACTGCCGAAACTACCAAAATACATCACCTTTCACTAATCATGATTAAATGACATCTAGCGCAGAGAAGCCTCATTTGCTAGTTATTCGACGTAAGTTGTATTTGTTTCATCCTATCGGTATTTTTCGAAACCCATTCTAATGGAAAATCGTCGGCAAGCTTTAGCGCCTTATTCTTTAATGTTATCTCAGTGCTATTACAAAACAATAAAGAACACAGGGCCCAGCACCGACCACTGCGGAACCCCACTTTTTACTATCTCCCAGTAAGATCTTGTACCGTTGAGCACCTGCACCATTGCACCTTGTTCCCTGTCTCCCAGCCAATACCTTACCCATTTAAGAATGTTTCACTCAGTGCCATGCAATTTTAAACGATAAAGCCAACGCTGGTAGTAACCTTATGAAACGCCTTATTAAAAGTAAGGTAAACAATATCTAAACCATTGCCTTCATCTATCTGACGAATGACATGCTCCATGAGCTCTAGAATATTTGTCAAACAGAAGAAAAACCATGCTTACGACTTTTCATCAAATGGTGCTTATCTGTGGCTGAAGGCTAGCCTTAAAAAAATCCCCTAAGATCTTGCATAATGGTAACGTTAGACTGACAAACCTATTATTGCTGACACTTGTTTTGGTCCGCTTCTTAATATCGATACTCCATTGACATCGCGTCAGTTCTCGGGTACTTGTGGGAAACTCTATGACCTCTTAAATAAAACATAAGAGGACAAGCTAAAGTACTAGTTTATTCATTAGCATTCCACCATGTATCTGGTCAGGTCCAGTTGCCTCACTGACCCTGAATTCCTTTGAGCTACCCCTTACCATAACCTCGGCCACTGTTAAATTCGAAAAGATTGTTCTGAGCCAGATTTTGCCAACAGTGGATCTCTTAGATGTGAGTTTGTAATAACAGAAAATGTATTTATCTCGCACAGTTGTGTGATATTACTAGCAAAGTGTGTGATGACCGCATTAGGGCAGTTTTTATCGAAAACCCTGATGACAATTATGCTTTGTTGCTACTGAATTGGCTCTGGTTGTTGTTTTATACCGGTGAAATTGAATTCCAAGTCAGCTGAAAGAGCATATAAAACGCCATCCGAGCTCTCTTGGTAGTTGTATGAATCTGGACGTAGCGTATAAATGTGAATGTTTCGTTTGAGATTCCGTATGTGAACATGAAATTTACAGTAAAATAGCAAGCGAAGGATCGCGCCACAGCCCATGGCTTCCGCATTATAAGGTCATGTTATGGAATACATCTACACGATGCTCACTGCAGAAGGTTCAATAAAAAACGTCGTCAGTCCGTCCTATTGATTTCCCTAATCGCCCGCATATCTTATTGGAGTTGCTTCCGTTTGTGTGCTTGCTAAAACACGTTGTTACCTTTTGAGAAAAATCATGGCCCTTGATCCGCTGATGAAAAGGCATGTAGTTGAGTAACGTGTTTATTTGTATCATTTTTACGGTACATAGATTTTTCGACGATTTTATATCACTGGTTGTTCAAAGACATATATATATATATATATATATATATATATATATATATATCTCTCTCTCTCTCTCTCTCTCTCTCTCTCTCTCTCTCTCTCTCTCTCTCTCTCTCCTTCTCTCTCTCTCTCTCTCTCTCCTCTCTCTCTCTCTCTCTCTCTACGACCAATGTTACGCTTAGCGGTTCGGTTTTATCTTGGAGCGTTTTGTTATTTGCACAGCCATCCCCCCCCCCCACTATTCCGTAGACCAGCCTGGCTCCTAATGCAGCCAGTACCGCGTACGACAGGTCAGCGATACCTCCAAAGCTCGCGTCGCCTTTCTAACGACAGAGAATGATCAGATGACTAGGTCATCTGTACCCGTCCGTACCCGTACCCATCTGCACTGGCAGCACCCGTACCGCTGGCCGGGTGCTGCCAGAGTGACTTATAACAGGGCGCATCTACAGTTGAACAGTCAGTGAACAGCGGTCAGGCTTTGTGCGAAGTTATTTGGGGCGTGAGAACGTAGCGGTCATGGTCAGAGCCCTTGGGAGGTTTGCCATTGACTGTTGGCACGCCAGAACTACGGAAGCAGTGACGGATCTGAGCCTGCTGTCTTTGTTTTTGTGGCATGCTGAAGGCAATGGCAGTCTCGTCATAGGGCACCCGCGACGATTGGCTTGTTAATGGTTGTAACTGGTTTGATATCGATGGTGTGCATTTTGTCCTACAGATAAGAGCGATAGCCATTATCATCGGTCACGTGCAGCAAATTGGGATCATGATCGCTCTTGCTCACTCGGTCTGTTGGAATTGAATTCGCAATTAGAGCGGTAGCCACTATCATCGGCTGCACGCAACAGACTGGGTCCATGGCCGCTCCTGCTGAGTCAGTCTGTTGGAATGGAACTCACAATTCAGTCATCTGCTCCAGCCTGAGGCGATTAGTGGTAGCCTGGCGCCCAGCGCCCGGGGCTATTCTGCAACATCGTATCCTTCTGACGCACTTGTCTCGTTAGCCGGCCGGAGGCGGGCCGTTAACGGCCGGGTCCAGCCCCAGCGGTGAAAGGCGGAGCCCCAGCGGCGCCGGCAGCGGCGCTGGCTCGGTTTCCCAACTGTCGGGGGCCCGCGACCGCCCCAGCCCGGCGGCCCCTGTCCACCGCGCCGCCGCCCCCGCCCCGCCCGCCGCCGGGCGCCGCGCGCAGACAGCGGCGGCGCGCGCGGACCGGGCCGCCGCGCCGAGATGATCCAGATCCATCCTGATGGCGCGGCGTCCCGCGACCTTGGCGCCCCCGCGGCGGAGGCCGACCGAAAGTAAAAGTGGCCGGACGGCGTGCCCGCGCGCGCACCTGGCCGCCGCCGTCGGCGCCGCCAATTACTAATTACCTCATCTGGAGTATCTGGGTCGGCGCGGTCGTTGACGGCACCGCCAGCTGGTCCTCCGCGGCGAGGCTCCTTTGATGGGCATTTTGACTCCGTCGTGGTACTCACAATGGAGGGGGGGGGGGAGGGGGGCGCATTACACATAGAGTGTGAGGTCGACATGTCCTGTGCTGATGTCATTTTCGCTTGAAAATGACTGTAAACTCATTTTTTATTGGGAAAGATTCTGCCAATTGAATAATGTATCAGCTTCGCGCGGCGAGTCAAAAGATCGGGAAAGCAAAGTATCGCATTGCGCAATGCAGAAGCAGGTATGGTAGTGATTGCAAGGAAATGGAGTTTATAGGGGAAGGGCGCAGCTGGAGGCGGCGGCGTCAAGGATGCTTGGTGCAAGAGTATCCTCCGGCTCGGGCATTCGTAATAACCTTCTGGGGGTCCTTAGCTGGTCAGTGTGATACGCTTTAATAGGTCTTTCATAATGATATGCAGGGCCCAGCCTGATATTGCATGCTGGGGTACGACAGGGGTCATCCACTGGCAAAGCCAGGATTTCACCCAGCAGTGGATCAAACCGGGTCATTGCCCTTTGAGTCGAGGTCGCAGTCCCTTTCGGTTCACGTTACAGTCCCTTTCAGCCAGGGTTGGCTTCATTCCTATAGCTTTTTGGATTGGGAGGGCCCTTGAACGCTCGCAATCATATTTGTATGCATTGCAGTTGTTATGTATGTTAAACGCCTATGGGCACCGCGAACCGCTTGAGAGGAATGGGAACGTCGCGGTTCTCGGAGTGCCCGCAATGTCAAGGAGTGGAGCCATGACCCAAAATGTCGCTGGAATCGGCTCACGCTTAGCATGCAGTTTGCATCTCGTGCAGCTCTCACCGCATTCAAATGTTCAAATTCTCACCACATTCTCACCGCAGCTAATGTCTAGAGCGTTTATTGCGCTCTGCAGCATCAATATCTGACAAACACAAGTGATGCAGAAAGTCGCAGGGAGTCGCTCCATAGGGATCTCCATAGGAATCTAAAAAACGATGCGTTTCATCAGCATAACACGATATTCTTGGAGATGAGCGAAGTGTTAAGCGCATAGACTTCTTGTCATTTGTCGCCTGACATGGCGCCATGGGACAAGGCACGCAGTTGATTCGTCATGGGACAAGGTGCACAGTTGAGGCATAGTGAATAAATAGTTGCCAGGGAGAGGCCGGGAAGTGGCTGGCAGTCTAGCCGTTAAGCGGCACTGGCTGGAAGCCGTTGACCACTCCGCGCGCGTCGAAGCCCTGGACGGGTCGGAAGAAGCGCTGGGCACCAGCCACCGGCTGGGCAGCGGCAGCCGGCTGCTGCGGCGCCAGCTGGCGCGCCTGCTGCACAAACTGCTGCTGCTGCGGCGTCAGCTGGCGCGCCTGCTGCACAAACTGCTGCTGCTGCGGCGCGAACTGCTGCGGCGCGAACTGCTGCGGTGCGAACTGCTGCGGCACGAACTGCTGCTGGGGAACGGCCTGCTGGCGCTGCTGCGGTGCGAACTGCCGCTGCTGGGGCAGCAGCTGCGGCGCGGCACCCTGGAAGCGCGTGGTGCTGGCGGGCAGGGCGGCGGGCCGGGCGGCGGGGGGCGGGCGCAGGCGCCGCCGGACGGGGCGCCGCGGGACGGGGCGCGGCGCCGCGCGCGGCCGGCCCCGCTGCAGCCCGGTCGGGATCGGGTCAACGAAGCCGTCCTCGTCCAGGTCCTCGCTGTAGCCGTCGAGCGCGACGTCAATGTCGCCGACGAAGGTGCCGGGCGCCACCTGGCTGGTAGAGGCCTGAGGCAGGCCCGGTGGCGGGCTGCGGGATCAGGCTCGAGCTCGGGCTGAAGCCGGCAGCCTTTGTTCGCGTTGTACTCGAACACCTGCTGCTGGCCGTTGGCGTCGACGTAGCCGTACTTGCCCGTCACCTCGCCGTTCACGTCGCGCGTCTCGAGCTTGAACGAGCCGTCAGCCGCCTCGAAGCCGTACGTGTAGGAGCCGTCGTCGTTGACGCGGTTGACCTGCTTCAGGATCGGCACCGGGGTGGTGGTGGTGGTGGGACGGTCCGTCACCTGCGCCACGGCCGCGCCAGCCAGCGCGCACAGCAACAGAGCCTGCAACGGACGCCGCTCAGCTCAGCTGCCTCGCCAAACAGGACATCGGCCGACGGTGACCGCTGCGACGTCACGACACGTACAAGGGACTCAGATGAGCTTGCTCCTTGAGCTGGACATCGATGTTAGAATGAGAAAGTGGGCATCTGAAGGGCAGGCTTTCAACAAAACAACTGATTCCCATCCCCAGCTCCCCTCTGGTTCGGGGTTCAAATATAATTGATCAAGTGGGGCGCATTACAGCGACGTTATATACGGACACGCTACTCTGCACGAGCACTCTGTCACCGAATCACGCCTTAAAAATGTCAGAGTGGTAAGAATTTACTCATAGGAACTGGAAATGGACAAACACAGGCGGCTAAATTGACTAAATCACCGGCATAACCACCTGCACACACACACATAATGCATTATATGCAAATATAAACAAAAGCCGGGAGATTAGAAGAAACCGAACAAAACTGAAGGGCTGGTTGACTACCACACAGCGCTTTGATGCTGATACTCATGGTAAGTGAAGCGATGTTTCTCCACTACAATGGTCTAGTGGCACTGACACTTACAGCTCTCATCCTGATGGTGCTGCCCCACGAGAGTAGGAAACGGGAATGAATGCACGCTCCTCTGGGCGGATCGGTTTTATAGTTTGGTCAGGTAACCTTGCGCCGTCAATATAAATGCCTGCGCTCAAGGTCAATGGCCCAGCTAAGATCGGGAGGTTGGGCGGTGCGGCTGACCCCGACGTGTCAGGATAAGGCTCGTCCATCCCAGGACGCCTCGGGCGACCCAGCAGATGTGTTTGCCTCTGCCCCGCGCCAGTCCCGTGACCCCTGACCGGTCTGCCGACCCGGCGGAGCGCCGCGCCTCGCACCACCGGCGTGCGCGTCACGGATGTCACACTCGACGGCGCACGACCTCCGGCAGCAACACTTCCGCGGTGGCGGTGGGTGCCACGCCTGCCCGCCGGCTGGGGAAGGGCCTCGCCGGGGGCGGACGCGCTAGCTCCTACGAGGACAAGGGCCCGCCGGACGAGCTGCTGACCCAGATAGGCTGCCAGGGCGGGGCCGGTTTGCATGGAGATGAGCACGGGATGGTCAAGGATTGAAAGGATCGTTAAAGGGGTCACCAACTGGAAGGTCAGATGCAACAGAGTGCAAAACCTCGCGGCGAATCAGATTAAAAGACTGAGGACTGCTGCAGGAATGGTATCATGCTTATGCACATCGCGCAGCACGTAGGACCTGTGCTGCACACAGCCGAGAGCGGATTGTAGCAAGTGCTTGGATGAATCGTGTGGATTTAGTGCACTTTAAACGTCGTGCAGCTTTCGCACATTATTGACACTTTTGGCACGTCTTTAATTTGCTGTAACACGCAAAAATAAACTGACAATCACACACAGGTAACGCAGTTCAACGATTTCATCATAACTTTTCACTGCAATGTTATCGAACCACATAAACAAAATGGAAAGTAGCTTCTGGACTAGTTTTGAACTAATTGCAAGATACGTGCCGCAATAGTTACTTCAAGTGTCCAATGAGCAGCCCCGAAAAAATATATGTGCAAGTCGAGGTGTAGTGTCTGTGTGTGACTTCCGCACGATGTCTTCGTCATAAACTGAACATGTGAATATAGAATACACTGCACATATGAATATAGAATTACTCAAGTTACACCCAGGTTGTGTGCGGTTTGCCATCGCATCAGTAGAGTCATCAACCACATCATCAGTGTTGCAAGCCTCCCAAGGAGCGAAAATAGAATCATAATTTCAATCCCCGCAAGTGGGAGGGCTACAAGAGGATGCTTTGCCTATTCACCAATTAATGTGGATGTGCGCATTAATGCAATGTGCACAAAGGCAACAATGAGGTGGTAGCATGTCCACCTGTGTTCTTAAACGAATAGTTAGGTCGTATTAAATTGTGCCTACTGACCTGCTGACCTGCTAGCCTTGGGCATACACAGAATCAAATCATGTTCTTGCGATCTCCACGGAGCTTCTGACATTCGAAGAGTGATGCTGCTTTAGGTTCTCGCTTGGACCCGTTCATCCCCAAGAGGTAACATGGGGTCATATAAGGTTATCCCATGACATGTCATGGCTTTGCTCTTTGGTGGTCTTCAACCCTTGTACATGATCATGCTGGTGTGGGTCAAGGCATGGGCTAGAAAGTAGCTATCTAGCATAACCAGCTTTGAGAAGTTCGTTTCTCTTGCTCCAAGCGTAGCACAGTACTTGATTCGCGTTTTTAAGTTGGAGTCACATTCTGATAAATGATCACCCCCGTGTCGAAGGTGTCCTACGATCCTCTTTTTCCTGTTTTGTTACGACAAAAAGCATTCGCTTTTAAGTGGCTATGTCTGTTGCGCAGAAACGATGCCTGAAGCGCCCCTCGTAGCGTAACATCAAATTTTGGTGACGCAGCGGCTGAAACGACCCAGAGCGTTGTTCAAAAGTCAGCGTGCCACTTTGTGTACTTTCAGGGGGGGGGGGGGGGAGCCCATCTTATTGACTTGAGTCTCATCATGCTCGTCTGAGCCCCCCCCCCATGCGTAGGTACCGTAACACATCGCAAACAATATCATCATCATTATATATCAGTGTTATCACTATCACATCGGCTACAAAGGGAACATTATTATTTAACATCAAAGCAATTTTGGAATTGATAAAATACTTTGCATTCCAATTTCTACAGTTGCGCCACAAATCAAAGTGGAAGAAATCGGAGGAGAAATCAGAGTCTGGGGGCTGGGCTGGCTATATCGGCTTGGCCGTCCCCTAACCCCAGCCAGTTTTAAAAAAGTGACAGCCCTATTTGAAAGGCTGGCTTGGGTTCCTTTTAAATATTCATCGATGCAAACGTTGCACGATGGCAGATGAAAGGACGGATATTCACCTGCCCGGATTCCAGAAAGCTGACACGATAAATCTGTCGAAGATTTATATGTCTATCAGCCACCTGAAGTCTGACTCAAAAATGGCGCGGTCTGTTCTCACCATCTCAAAGCTCAAAGGTAAGTAGTGCCAGACTGGCAAGTACGTTTACAGCGTTCATATCATGACTGGAGAAGATGCCAGGCCAGATTTGTGATCGGAGCGTGCCTCATTAGGTTTCGAGAAACCCTTCGGACCCCTCGGGACCTACGATGATGGGCCCAAAAGGCCGGGCACTCCAATTCCAGCCATGGGGCTCTGCCTGTTGATCAGGGGCCCCCTGAGTCAAGAACGGCCCCTACGTCGGTCAGGCACCACCAGTAGCGCACAGTCATCTCCGTGTCGGCCTGGGCCTGAGGACCCATTCCCGAAGCAGGGACAAAGCGGGAGCCAGCGATTTGTATTGGTTGGGGCCGCACAGTGCCTTAAGTCTGTCAGGGCTGCACAGAGCATAACAGGGGGCCTGTGTTGACAAGAGGTCTCGAGTCGGCCAGAGGCAGTGTTCCAGGAGTCCCGAAAAGCCTGGAGAACCCGCTGGTACCGACGATCCAGGGCCCGATTGGAGTGCTTAAGGGCACGGCGGGGTGGTCGGGGTCTTATTTAGGGGCCCCGGCCTGCGGGAACAGGCCCTGTGCAAAAAAAACGCACTGACCAGATCGGGGACCACCTGATTCGATATGGACTTATGTGGGTCGATCAGGAACCACAAGTATCGTACAGTCGGCTCCGTGCCGGGAAGGGCCTGAGGCCCTCCTCCCATTACCTACAAAGCCGGGACGGGCACTTTGCACTGGTCGGGGCCCCTGCATCTGCCAGGCGTCCATGGTACCTTACAGAGGCTTTTGTGTTCCCGGGGGGCCCCGAGCCGACCGAAGGCAGTGCTCAATGGTTTCCGAAGAGGGGCGCGGGCGGCTCATCGGAGCTAACAATCAAGGGTTCGGTCGGATGACATAAGGGCCCGGAGGAAAAGGTATGGGCCACATGGGGAGCCACAACCCGTGGACTCGTGGCCCGAAATGTCAGTCAGAAGTCCCGTTGTAGAGCCTAAGGACCCCTGAGAAAATGCAGGGGTCTTAGCCAGCCAGAGGCCACGAACACCGAACAGCTGTCTATCCGTCAGTCTGAACTTTGGAGGCCCATTTCCTAAGTAGAAGCAAGGCCAGGGCCGTGATTTACAGTGGCCTGGGTTACTGAAACAAATGCTGGGGGCCCTGTGTCGGTCAGGGGCCCACAGTGTCTAACATAGAGTCATATGTCGGCTAGCGGCCCGGAGTCAGTCACGGGATTGTTTGAGGGGGTCTGAAGAGGGGTCCAATGGCCCTAGGGACCAAATATCAATGGCCCCATTGGAAGGCTCATTGTCTTCTTGATTGGAGGTGACGGGCCCCAACGACTGGCCGTAGATCGCATTAAAGATGCCCTCCTGCCCGTAAAGCCGTGACCTCAAATGTCGGTTAGAGGGTTTCTTGCATTGATTGGGAACCCGTGGGACAGTATGGGTCTCTATTTCTGCCAGAGGCCACCAACACTGAACATCGGCTACGCGATGGTCTGGGCCCTTGGGGCCACTTTCCAGGCACAAGCAAGACCGAGCCACCAATTTCCACTAGTTGAGATCACTGAAACCATAATGGTGTCGGTCAGGGGCCACAGCGTCTAACAGGGGTCCTGTGGCGGCAAGCAGCCCAAAGTGGGTCGGGCCCTCTCGGAACATTCACTCACCAGGGTCGGGGACGAATGACGGGACCCCGAATGACAAAGGGCCTCTTGCGTTGATCGGGGCCCTCTGACAATAAAAGGAAACGCAAAAGCTTATACAGTGTTAACATTGAGACAATGGAAGAGTCCTGTGCCATTAAAGGTCCTAAGTACCAAACAGTGGGCCCTCCAACCAATTGCAGCATGGCTCCTTTAAGTCGAACTGGGGTCTATCTGCCAACTTTTGAACCACCTGCGGCGATCAGGGATGCTGTTGCCTCAGTAAGGGTTCCTGCGTCGATCCGGGGTCAACTGCGCGGGTCAGAGTGCCTCCCACGTCAGGGAGCGACCCAAT